AGACCATATGAGTATTTGGACCGTATGCGTACTTTTTCAAAATACGCTTACGGTCGGACTTATACTGAGAATTTGGTCAAGTTTATTACAGATCAACATAACCTAAATCTCAAATTAATATAAAAAGTTAAATTATGTAATTGAAACTTAATATTTTAACTATTTAAAAAAGTCACGCTAATTTAATCTGTTATTCTCCTGTATTTAGCAAGTAAGTAATTGAAATAACTCACTGAAATTGAAGTTATCGGAAGTAAACATAATGTGGGAAGACAATTTTTTTTAGAATATTTAGGAACTTTACAAAAGGAACATGCATGAACAAAACATGTCAATGTAAAAAGTATGACGTGCCTTGTGGTATCAAGTGTCACATTGGACGAGAGTACCAAAGAATAGGATTCAGACATTTAATTAAACAATTATTTAATTTCAATTGTTCGCTATTCACTTTATTAATATAACTGTAATAATAAAAATTTGTAGAAATAAATAAAAAGATTTTGATAAATGTTTGTTTAAATTTAATCAATATGATACCAAAACATGTATGGTCTCCTCGAACTAGACCGTACGAGTATACTCATACGGTCCGACCGTATGCGTATGGTCGGAACATACGGCGAGTATACGTAAACGGTACACAAATATTCATATGGTCTAGAACATTTATAAATAGAAATAATTGATCATATTTATGTGTTGATACACTGATACACAAACAGAAAAAAATGAATGAGGTTATGGTTTCTCTTGAACTGAGACTACTATAGTCTACTACAGTCTCAGGTTTGACTGAATCACAAGTCCAATTTTTTCTTTAATTTTGAAACAAACACTGTAGTAAAGAAGAATTACTGCGGTTCTTGACAAATTAACACAGAAGAAAACTAAAAGACACAGATTTCAAAAATTTGCTACGGCGAAATCAACATTCTTTGTTCCTTTTTACTTGTATAAATGAACACAAAGGTCTGTCAACAGAGAAATGTGGGGTAAACGACAACGAACCATCGATATATACAAGGATGTGTAGTTTTAAGTCGATCTAAAGTAAACAGATCTAGTTTGAATCGATCTAAATATCCTAGTGTGAACGGGGTCTTATACGCAACTTTTTCGTACCTTATTCATTTTTATACGTTTCATTCTTTATAATGCTTTAGTTTATTTTATTTCTCTGTCTCTTTTGCTAACCCCGAGTTCTTATAAGTAAAAATAACCGTATAAGAATTAGTATCCGTTTCAGCGTTCGACTGATACTTATTCTTTACTTAAAATGTCCTTACTTTCTTTTAAATGCTTTCCTGTCTTTTATTTCATTGTCTCTGGGATCGCGCAGGTCAAATTACCCTATTATCGTGTGTGTACCAGTTTCGGCGCTCGACTGATACATATTCGTTACTTTACTAAGTCGTTTGTAATTCGTTTTTTTAAAGTTTAACCTTGTGTTGCTTTCTTTTCATTTCTTTTCTTTTTGTTTGTTTTAATTAGCAATAGGTCTATCGATGTGTCATAATCCTATTAGCGCGTACATACCTGTCGCGGCGTCGACTGTTACCCTGTTATTTATAAGCAACTTATTCGTTTCTTACTAGCTTTTTAACTTGCACATTTTTAATGCTTTCGTTTCTTTTCTTTGGTGTTAGCTATGGGTTCGTAGACGTTAAATATACCATACTAGCGCGTATGGATACATTTCAGAGCTCGACTAATATCCTGTTATTTATTTGCTGTTTTCCGTTCTCTTTTTCGCTAGATTATTTTTGCTTGATTTTTAATGTTTTTTAAATTGGCATTTTAAGGGGAGGTAACTCTGAAATAGTACATTTTCTGAAGGAATCTACATGGTATTTTGCTATTTTATATGTCAGCCGAAAAAAACGCATGGTGACCCTATCTTTTCTTTTTATATTCTCAAAACATTTTCTAAAAGCTATCTTTTCGTATTTTATTTTACAATTCTATCATTTAGTTTAGCTTCTAATCACATAATGATGTTTTTCCTCTTTGATCAATACAAAATGTGTCATTTTGTCACAACCTGTAGCTTAATAAAATGCATGGTGACCTATCATTTTTTTTATATTTTTGAACTTAATACAAAATATTCTATCATTTTTAATTTAGACACCCATACCACCTTAATTCTGATTGGCTAAATATTTTGTCAGTCTCAAATCAAAAACTACTTATAGTTACTGAAAAATGATACAATTATGTACATTTATAATAGATAGTCAATATATATCAAATTCAGTAAGACAAAGTTTATATTATAAAAAATATATAAAAAATGACATACCAGCCCAGTAGTCAGCACTTCGGTGTTGACATGAATATCAATTATGTGGACATTTTAATAAATTTCATATTTACAAAAATATAGATTTTTCGAAATACTAAGAATTGTTTTTTATCCCAGGCATAGATTACCTTGGCTGTATTTGGCACAACTTTTTTGAATTTTGCGTACTCAATGCTCTTCAACTTTGTACTTTTTTGGCTTTAGAACTATTTTGATCTGAGCGTCACTGATGAGTCTTATGTAGACGAAACGCGAGTCTGGCGTATTAAATTATAAGCCTGGTACCTGTGATAGTTATTTACACCACTGGGTCGATGCCACTGCTGGTGGACGTTTCGTCCCCGAGGGTATTCAAGCCCAGAAGGCAACACTTCGGTGTTGACATGAATATCAATTATGTGGTCATTTTTATAAATTTCCTGTTTACAAAAGTATAAATTTTTCGAAATACTAAGGATTTTCTTATCCCAAGCATAGATTACCTTGGCTGTATTTGGCACGCCTTTTTTGAATTTAGGGTCCTCAATGCTCTTCAACTTTGTACTTTTTTGGCTTTAGAACTATTTTGATCTGAGCGTCACTGATGAGTCTTATGTAGACGAAACGCGCGTCTGGCGTATTAAATTATAAGCCTGGTACCTGTGATAGCTATACCATAGCTTGAATATATTTTGATATGAAACTAATTTAAAAAATGGGTAGTAATTGTAACATTATAATCCATTTAATCAATGCGCTCGACAGAAATTCTGTTACTTATTCGTTCTTTATTGCTGTTTTAAACTTTGTCCCTTTTTGAAATTGTCTTTTTTTTTAATTTTTGTCTCTGGTGTAAGTATATGATTGTTGGAGATGAAATTATTCAGTGAGATCGTATGTATTCGATTTACGCGCTCGACTAATACCCTGTTTCGTATTCGCTTCTTATGCATTGCTTTTTTTGATTATTATGTTTTATGTGTTATATGTTTGTTCTTTTGGTTTGTGGAGTTGAAATAACTACTTATTCGTTCCTTATTCATTTCATATAGATAAGCGCTCTTCATTCAATTTGTTTTTTTTTTGGCATTTCATGTCTCTGGTGCTTTCCTGGAATAGTGTTCCTGAAAAAGCCTATTGTTATGTTTTCCATCAAGTGATTTATGTGAAGTGTGAAAAATAAATAGAAAATAGAAAATTAATATTCAAATGATTATTTTCTTAGTTAATCAAGAAATCTTAATTTATGTTTTTGCTAAATCTCGAACAATCTGCTTAAGATATACGGTATTTGAAAAAAGGAATGCATGTATTGCAATGTAATGCATGAAATTACACAACTTTATGCTAAAGTAATGCATTAAATTACAATTACATGTAATGCAAAAACTGCTGCATTACACATTACATGCAAAAATGTAATTCATTACCATGCATTACAATTACAAATTTGCATTACCCAATGCCTGTCCACAGTAACTACTTCTAAATATGATTTTCCTGGTTATTCAGTGACTAATCCAATGGGATACTCGGGCAACTGTTGTAGGTCGAGTGTTGTGTCATTACAGCAAAGATATTTTTTAGAAAAAATAAACTAATTTTTTTAAACTTGTATAACCTCAATTGATTTGTTTTTAATTGTCAATTATATTTTCCTAAAATAGAATTTTGGTAGTGTACAGTGATGTGTTTGCTCCACGAATAGTCTTTACCAATGTGTTTTAGTAGACCACGGGTTATAATTCTTTGTTCAAATAAAACTGTCAATGATGAGCAATTCTTTTTTTATCATTTTTTCCACACTTTCCCCCGTTACTTTTACTCTAGATTGTTCTTGTGGCTGTTTGTTTAGCCTGTTCAAATTTGATTTGTTCAGAATTTGTGTCTAGCTAGCCGTTGCTGTATTTGGCTCAGTCTGAGTGTGATTTTCTACACTTCGTTTCAATTATTTCGCTTGTCTGAGGTTCGGGTTTTGTTTGTGTAGCTACAGTTTGTGTCAACCTAGTGTTGTGATTAAATACACTAAAATCTGTTACCGTATGTGTTTCCATAGAATTTGTTGATTTTATGGCATGTGTTAAATTTGACACTTGAAATGCTAGACTGTTACATTGCTCAGTTAGATCGTTTATTTTAGTAATAAGACTTTGGATAATTTCACCGTCTTCATGATGAACTAATACAAATAATGTAGATGTAAATCAGTGATTATTACAACCACATAATCTATTTATAAAGTGTATCACGTCTGTATGAATCAGTATCTATTGATAAAGTGTATTATGTCTGTATGAATCAGTATCTATTGATAAAGTGTATTATGTCTGTATGAATCAGTATCTATTGATAATGTTTGTTATGTCTGTATGAATCAGTATCTATTTATAAAGTGTATCACGTCTGTATGAATCAGTATCTATTAATAAAGTGTATTATGTCTGTATGAATCAGTTTCTATTGATAATGTTTATTATGTCTGTATGAATCAGTATCTATTGATAAAGTGTATTATGTCTGTATGAATCAGTATCTATTGATAATGTTTGTTATTTCTGTATGAATCAGTATCTATTTATAAAGTGTATTACGTCTGTATGAATCAGTATCTATTAATAAAGTGTATTATGTCTGTATGAATCAGTATCTTTTGATAATTCTTGTTATTTCTGTATGAATCATTGTCTTATCTCTTTATTTTAAAGAAAAAGTTGGTAACTATTCTTCCTTATATCCTAGTGGATATTCTATAGGGATCATTGGAGGACATTTTGGTGTTTTACAACATTTTCCTGGAGCAGGTTCATTCAGTGTACATTGTGAAGGCAGATCCCATTTATAACACCTGCAAAATAAACAACTAGTTCTTCATAACTCATCACAAACTTATTCTTTTAAATTCACCTAATTCAGTTACCTCTAATTTTCCAAGTACTTTTTTTATAAACAGGACTGATGTACAGATTATAAAACTATGTTTAACATCGGAGCAAATTCCCGGACGTTTATTATATACTATATAAGAACACCACTTTCCAAGGTTAGAGTAGGATTGAGCGCTCAAAAACATGTTTAGTCAACCACATTCTGTATGTGCCTGTCTCAAATGAGGAGCCTGTATTTTAGGGGTTGTCATTGGTTCATAGATAAATAAGTTGATGTGTTATGATAATGCATGTCACATTTGTTTTCGCAAATAGTTTTATTATAGATTAAACCGTTTGTTTTTTCAATTGTATTGTTGTATGTTTGTTTATGTCGGAGCCTATTATAGCCGACTGTATAGCTAGGATTTTAATCTTCGTTGCAGGCCGTATAGTTGCCTATAAATGCTAACATCAACTTCATCTGAATTTTGTTAAATCTACATTGGAAAGAGGTACAGGGGGAAGGTTTAGATCTCACTAACCATGTTTAACCTCGCCGCATTTTAGAGCCTCTGTTCTTTGTTAGTCTAGTATGTTAATTTTTAATTTTAGTTCATTTATATGATTAGTATGACGTCCATGTTCACTGAACTAGTGCACATTTTTGTTTAGGTGCCAGCTGAAGTCCGCCTCCGTGTTCGGGATTGTTGCGCTATGTTGAGGATCCATTGGTGGCCTTCGCTTGTATTTTACTCATTGGTCGGGTTGTTGTCTCGTTGAGACATTCACCATTTCCATTCTCTATCTAATTTGTTGAATAATTGACTCTTATGCAATCATACTCAATTTTGTGTGTTATACATCATAACTGCAAACTCTTAGTTTAATGTACTGAATAAATATTATCACACAAGCATTGCATCCTAATAGGACAAAAAGTCTTACGCTACAAGAAATTACGCACACCATTAAATTATCGCACAGTAAAATCAGAACAGAAACTCTAAAATTTTCAGGGTTTGTGACATAAAGGTCCTATACAAGTAGTTATGAACAGTTAATCAAGTGTAAAATAAGCTGAACAGTACCACACAAACTCTAATATGTAAAAATATCAAACACCTAAATAAAAAAATTGCTGAAATGTAGAGGTTCAATTTTTTCAATTCTTTTTTTTATTTCTTTCAGACATTGAATATTTGTAATCCAATCTTTTTGTCAGAAAAAATAAATGTAACTAATGATATGATTGAGTAAGTTGATAGACTTAATAATTCTTTATAACTTTTATTGAAAACTAATTAACACAATATTTAACTGGATATTCAAAAGCAAAATCAAGAAAAGCAAAGTAAATATTTCTGTAACTATCTGAAGCAAATCACTGATGAGGCAAACATCAAAAGGAGCTCTGCAAAGAATATTTAGAAGCATCTTTGTTCTTATAATCATAATTTTTACCTGATAGATGACATATTCTAATTGTCATGTATCATATACTAGCACGAAAATGTATCGACCGCCAATGATTTAAAAACTTTAGCTATTATACTAAGATTTTAAAAGGAAATATTTTTTAGTTCGAATATTGATTCATCTTAAATAGATTAAAGATTTAACATAGAAAGCTCACAAATAACTAAAAAATATTAAACAAAGCTCGATCAATACTTTTTTACTCGACTGAATTAACATCAAGACATTAAAAAAGTAAAGAGTGTTTCAAACTTTTAGACGCTGTTCATATCAATAGCATTCAGTCCGTTTTGCAAATTGGGTGACATTTTCTCTGTCTTTATCAGAGGTTGCTTCCATTTTATTAATAAAAATCTCAAAAGCTTCGAAAATGTTCTTTCGTGGTCTTTTAGTATAATGTGATATTGTATGATGTCTATTTCATTGAATATCGTATAAAAATTATGTTTGGTAGATTTTTTTACATTTAATATTTGATATAAGGTAAGAATAAATGCTGTAACCGGAAAAATGACTTAAATTTTATACATATTTTCTGATAGATTGATAACAAAACCGATATTTGTGTCCATGTAAAGATTTTCAAAGATATTATAACATCATTAATGATAACCTTTACTTATAAGTTTATTTGAAGGTTAAATGAGTTTACACGAATCACATAGCGATTTTCGCGCTTTTAGTACAATGTTACCGTAAAATGTAGGATGTGAAATACCGTTTTTAATAAGAATTCTACAGGTACAACCAAATTTACTATTCAAATCCTTGTATCTATGAAAGAAGTTATTAAATGTTTAAAGTAATTTATTAATTTTAGAAATCCCTGACTTACTAATTTACCAGTGATGCTTTGATTATGTTCGTTAAAATCTACGACATCACTATACACACGGGCATAACGAATGAGTTGGGATATATATGCATGGAGTTTTCCTTAAAAAATTGAAATGTCTTAATCTAGAAAAGGACAATTACTGCTCTTTATGTTATATTTATTGAAAGTAAGTTTATTTTGGGTACATGTCGGTATTATATTTAGAGAACTCTGTATTAATCAACGAAAAAATATAATGGTTGGTTTTCTTGAATATGTCACCCAAAAGTAGCAATGGCGTGTCTTTACTGAGTTTGACGAGGAGAAAATGTGAAGCTTCAATCCTATCTTCACATTTCCAGTAAGTGGATCTAGAATTATTTCCTTTTGTTACAGTAAAGGCTTTAAACGAGTTACAGCAAATAAATTTGCAACGAAATTGTTCACAATATATATCAGAAGATGATCAGTGGTATGAGTGCCAATGCGACAACTCTCCATCCAAGTCATAATTTGTAAAAGTTAACCACTACAAGACCATTTTATTAAATATGGTAATACTTAGTTTAAGTGTAGTGTATAGAATAAAACTAAATCGTAACTGTCAAAGTATTCAAAGTAACTATCAAAAGCACGTATATTATTTAAAATATTTAAAGATTTTTTAACACTCCGAAAATAAATTTAAAATACATTATTACAAAAGTCAAGTTCTTTGATAGTAGTATGGGAGGTAGAAAGAAACACTGTAAAATTAGAAGTAGATAAAGGCAACAGTAGTATACTAGCTAGCTATAAAACCAAGTTCAATCCACCATTTTCTACATAGGAAAATGCCTGTACCAAGTCATGAATATGACAGTTGTTATTCATTCGTTTAATGTGTTTGAGCTTTTGATTAGTGACTTTCCTTTTTGAATTTTCCTCGGAGTTCAGTATTTTTGTGATTTTACTTTTTATACCGGTGTACAAAAGTCATAAATCGATTGAAAGAAAACAAATCCGGGTAACAAACTAAAACCAAGGGAAACAGCTACCATACTTCTGACTTGGTACGTATATACTGGACATTTTAAGAAAAATGGTGGGTTGAACCTGGTGTTTTGGTTTACCAAACCTCCAGCTTTAAATGACAATGGTAACACTTAATGTTGAGATGAAACCAGTACATATTCGGGACTTTCAAATGTTCGAAAGAGGCTTTAACCTGCGTAGTGGCAGTGATATGCTTGTTTAAAATTTGACTCTGTGGAGTGTACGGATTCCGGACATGCATGTAGAAGAATTGATAATTTCCTTTGAAGAACTTCTGTGTAGTATTTGCGTCACACCACTACTACATTATTGGCTGCTTTGTCTGCCGATACGAACACAAACTGGATATAAAAAAGAAGATGTGGTGTGATTGCCAATGAGACAACTCTCCGTAAGAGACCAAATGACACAGAATTTAACAACTATAGGTCAACGTACGGCCTTAAACAATGAGCAAAGCCCATACCGCACAGTCAGCTATAAAAGGCCCCGAGTTTATTTTCATTCTAAAAATGGGTTTATCATGAACCCTTTTATCAAATTCAGTATTGTTTCAAATTGAGATATACATTATTCATTATTTTATTCAAATAACTGTCTAGAGATTTATAAACAGATTTTTTTCACGCTTACTCTAATGTTTACATTAGGCAGACAAATCTATAGTAGATGGAGAACGATATTTATGTCCTTTCTTAAGAAAATTTTACACTCACGGTCTTCAACGATGTTGAGGTCTCCATTAATGACATGACCATATGTAACATATCTATAACTAGATGTTTCACAGTCCCAAGTAGACGCAGCATTATATTCTACATTAACGTCTGATGTTACTGACGTATAATTAAAAATCAAACTTCTGCTGTTTTTGTACGTTAACGAAATAATAAATGGTTCTGTATTATCAAATTATGAAGGCATTTATTTATGGATGAAAGAGTCATTGAATATTCTAGATAAGTTAATAAAATCAGTACTTTTATTTATATATTTTAATTTAAAAAATGCCGTTTATGATTTATAGGTTTATTGATACCGGGAAACAGCGTATAACAGTCTAAAAAGGGAAATCACACTCCAGATAACTATCATATATAGTTACTTCTTGGTTTATGAAGAAGTTTGCATACTAATTTATGTCTACACTGATTTTTTATTATAGATAACTGATCAGCAAGTGTATAATTTAAACGATGATGCATTTAAGGTTGTATTCTTCTGACGTTACAGTCTCGTTGAAATCTCGTTCTGGGATTATTTCAAAAACATTTGATACAAGTGGAAAATATCAATGAATTTTAAAAATATTATAATCAAACTCTACTCTGTGAAATAATATGCATTTTGTTTTTAAAACAAAGAAAAATCACAAATTGACAAAATCGACAGCATGGTTAATTTGACACAAAAAAGCATCAAAATATGATAAAACTTTCTTATATTAACACCTACCTATTGTTTTTTTAAGTTAAATTTATTCAGATTGGTCCACTTCATCTTTATTGAAAGTATGATAAAAAGTTTAATTGTGGAACAGTGATTTTTTTCACGATAATAGCCCAAAAATAGGTAAAAATTGATGAAAAATCGGAAAATCATCAAAATTGAGTACTTCAAAGGACGGTAGCAAAAAATGAAGTCCACCACCATATGATTTTGTCTTCACCAATTAATTTTTTACAGTCATATGAACCCAAAAATCAGGTTTAGAAAAAAAGTTTAATTCTTGAAATTTTTGGCTCCTCAGAGGTGTACATCCTTATATGATTTTACTATCATTAGGTACCCATAAAGCCCGATTGTGATATTTCTCTAACTGTTTTATCAAGTAGTTTGAGTAAAAACTGATAAAAGTATAAATTACAATATAGTAAATACAAAAGGGCATACGTTAAAAGAACGAGTGGTAAAAAGAAAATTTACATTATTATTTTAAATCTAGTGTACAGTTCATATTTCTGATTCGTAGCAAATTTGTCTTTTATTGCACCAGTTTTGCTGTTCATTTTAAAAACTTAATTGATTTGTCAGAAATAATCAAAGAGCTATGAAATAGCGTAACAAACCAATGTATTCTTATAACCAGGAGCAGTTTACACAGAGAAGATATGCTCACATGAATTTCACATGAATCTCACATGAAATTCGCGTGAAAAATTTCACGTGAAATTCACCTCAACCTTCTGCTGTTGTCTGTTCTGTGGTCGGGTTGTTGTCTCTTTGACACATTCCCCATTTCCATTCTCAATTTTATTATACATGAAAATCATGTGAAAATATTCATCTGAATTTTACGTGAATTGAGTTCCAAAGAATAATACGTGAAATTACGTAATTTAAAAAAATCACGAGAATTTCAAGTGAACATTTTTTCAAAAAAATATTTCTGTGACTGCATCTTTCGATCCTTTACGACCGATAAAGACATAGTTTTATGTTTGGTGGGGTTCGTGTTGCACAGCCTTTAGTTTTCTATGTTGTGCTTTGTGTACTGTCTGTTTGTCTTTTTTACTTTAACTATGGCGTAATTTTCAACTTTGAATGTCCCTTCTGATAGCTTTTGTCTCTCTTTTAAACCTACCCGAGATACAAAGTTAAAAAATTAGACTTAGCCAAAACCTCTTTGTTCTGACTGTGTTACAATTCTGATAATGAACAGCTAAGGTGTGCATTAATTACCTCAGATATGATCACAGTTTATATATATTGTTATCTTTTCGAGCAAATTCATGATTTTTCGAAGGCATATGGGGCGTAATTCTTTTTTAAGGTGTACGTATAACTTATTTTCCAATTTTCCAATATTTGTTCTTCTTTCTTGAAACATTTCTGATAATATGTTTACGATGTAAATCTAAAATCAATGTTTCAAATTCAAACAAGATAATTATTTAACTTTTTGTTTCTTCTTAACATATCTTAGAATATCTAATTTTAGACATGACCTGGATTAGTTGTGATGTCAGTGGAATTTCTTACAACTTTATAAATACGAATTTCTTTTTTTGTGAATATGTGGTATCGAATTTAATGAGGTTCATATACAATTAATTGCCAATTTGTTCATGGAACTTGTCTTCGCGATTACTCTCAAGGGAACGTAATGTAATTGCGTTGAAGTAATCTATAATAAATAACTCTTTCAGTTATGGTTTGTGATGAACCGATTTAAAAGCACATCAAACGGAACTAAAACTGTAGGTACTGTAGGATATATATCAGGAAGAAAAACGCCCAAAAAACCCACATCTAGAGTACAACATATAGTGTACAACAGTAGACAGATGTCTCGACAATCAAGTTCTAAATTGTCAAGAATTTGTTTAAAATTTTGAATAAAAGTGAATAAAACAAAGGTCTTATATTGAATGCAATACTGCAAAAAATGTAGCAATTTAGGAGAAAACCTGTATATATAAAAAGGTAATAATTCATAAGTTATCATCAATTTTATATTTTGTCTTATCTTTGAACTCTTGTTTTTGATGAGATATTTGAAATGGATCTGTCATCCAATTTAAAAAGGATACAACAGAAAATATAAAGGCACATTCCAGGCGATAATAAGGCAACAACAGATGGACAAAGGGCAGACAAGTAATACACACTATTCTGTACTTAACCTCATGGAGTTTGATGAGCCAAAGATACATTATAACTAACAGTAACACTTATATAAAAACATCAGACAGTCAACTTGATAGAAGCTTACCAACACGTTTGAATTATATCTTATTTTTCTATAAGTCTTTCTTGGATTTTATTTAGTCCCATTCAAAACGAGAAGTATTTGTTAAGAAGGCCATAAAGATAATAATGTCAGTCTTGCCTGTTGATGACCGATTTTTCATTTACTTTACCCTTAACACACATATTTTTACCTCTAAACAGGTTTTATTAAATCATTGTATAACTTTGCCAACAGGGATAACGAACATAGTCTCTCTCATTCTATTTTATCTGGCATTATACTGTATAATAGTTGATATGCTCCTTCTCACTGAAACTTTCCAATCACATTAAAACCTATTAGTATAATACATCTTATAAAACTTACAATTCTTTACATCTACGGAATCCTAGATTTGCCTGAATACATTCACATTTGTATTTACAATCAATAATCCATGTGTCCCCCAGTCCATAATATCGTCCATTGAAATAGCAAGGCAAATCTAAACAGAGGAAAAGAACATTTATTTATTGATATTAACATGAAGCGGTAGTTAATAACCTTTCTTCATTTTATCACAGGTATCAAAATAAACTTAAGATATATATATACATATATATAAATATTGTGTGATCTGATAGCAGTGAATAAATAAAAACCTCATAAAATCATGTTAGACAGAAACAGCAAGTTAATTTACGTAAGCAGGTCATTTTTAATGATGACTAATAGTTGTTAAGTTATTCAGAAGGTTTGTTAAACAGACTTAAATCTAAATTATAAAAACAACAACTTGTTAACAAACTTTGTGCGTTACAGTAAACAGCTATTTTTAAGCATTTTTCAAGAGAAATAAAAGTAAAACGACTCAAGGTTTATTGCACGCCACATGCTAGTCTGATCATTTAGTACTGACATCCAACTGACTCCTACTTTTAACTTCTAAACTTGTTACTTGCCTTTTATTATGCAACAGTAGTCTTAGATTCTCAAGCTGCAAGTCTAGCTGTGTAAAAATGTATCATTAACTAATCTAATCTGCATGGCCTATTTTTTCCACCTAATTAAACTATTGTGATTGACATGTACCACATTTTTTTTAAATTTTCATAAGTGGTTGAGGACAACAAGATGATTAAAAAAAACTGCGCAGTTGGTGATCGTACTAACCTGAATATATTGTAGGGAGGACTCTTACTGGTGTACATACAACTTGACCACAACATTGGCCGTTTGGTGTAATCACTCTACATATCTTAGGCAAATGGTCATACACAGGACAACTGAAAAATATAATTGACAATATTTACTTTTCAGGAAATATGTGCTAAAAATGACTATTGCATTTAGAATATATAGAAGTCTTTTTCCAATGGAGGGTTATTTTTAATTCGGAGCAGTACTCACCAATAAAATCACAACTCCAAAAAGTTCAAAAAGTTATTGGAAGTCCCAGATTACTTGAAAAATGAAATTTAGCTAACGTTGTAGCCTATTTCTCGAATATCCTGGCATCCCTATGAATGTTTTATTCAATAGTGTCTCCCGACATGTAATGTCATACTCGCAGCCACATAGAAAGCCAGTTGATTTCATGGCTTCATGGCTTCGTGACAACAATATAACAATATCTTAGTAAGCACTAGACGGTGAACTTTTCTTTCTATGTAAGTTTAATTATAAAGGTCAGCTATACATCAGCTATATAAATGTGAAACAAAAAAGACCACTGCTGGTTGGTCTCTATTGTTATAAAAGTAACAACAAATGTTGGAATACATATACATAGTTTTTGTAACAGTTTGTGGTGGGGTTTGTGTTGCTTAGTCTTTAGTTTTCTATGTTGTGTCTTGTGTACTATTTTTTGTCTGTTTGTCTTTTTCTTTTTAAGCCATGGCGTTGTAAGTTTATTTTTAATCTATGAGTTTGATTGTCCCTCTGGTATCTTTCACCCCTCTTTTAAAGCTAGTGATAAGTTAACGTCGATATTGAAAGACGTATGAACAAAAAGGGATTTGAACACCCCTTTTTGTGAAGAGTTCTTTTAATATCAATATCAATATCACCATTGAACTTTTACTGACTTGCAAACCGTCAAAAAAATATGAAAAGTACACAAAAAACAACTTGCAGAAACCGTATACCTCAAAATTAAAAATACGAAAAGTACACAAAAAACAACTTGCAGAAACCGTATAACCTAAAATTGGACGAGTCTAACTCAAATGATAGTAAAACAGTACTCAGACTGATATAGACAAATTACAGTTACATATTTGCATTAGAAAAAAGTAAAATCACAAAAAAACTGAACTCCGAGAAAAATTCAAAACTGTAAGTCACTAATAAAAAGGCAAAGTCAAAAGCTAAAACACATCAAACGAGTGAATAACAATTGTCATAGTCTTGACTTGGTACAGGCAATTTTTTTATGTAAAACTTGGTGGATTAAACTGGTTTTATAGCTGGCTAAACCTCTTACTTGTATGACAGTCGCATCAAATTTCATCCACAAAAAAAAGAAGAAACGAACTGATAAGATGGCACTACATCATTTCACTATTTTTTCATTATATTGATTTAGAACTAAAACAACACCATAGGAAAGATTTATAAAATTAATGGGTAAATTTATATTTTTGAATTCTGACCTTTAATATAACGATTTTCTATTTTATAAATGAGGAAATCAAAACTTATACAGACCTGCTTTACAACTGACCAATGCATGGACTGAACCTTAACTTCTTGTTATATATATGAGATGTTTTTAATCTTTCAGCAATCATGAAAAAGATTCGTAAAGACCAGATCAAATGAAAACAGTAAGTAAACTCTTTCAAACATTAGCGATTTAAACAATTTGTTTCATAATTTCTAATCGAATAGACTAAATGCATAAGGTCCTCCACAATATTCAGGTAAATGTTCATTTTGGATTTGATTCTGAAGTTTTCCTACACTACGATACATGCACATGCAGAATAATTAGTGTTGTCTGTTCAGTCTAATTAATTAATAAATCGTGTTTTGTTTAAAGAAAAAACTATGTATGTACAATCTAATGAGATCGAATTAAATAGCAAAATTTGTCTCTTTGGCACTCATACCCCATCTTCTTATATCTATATATGTAACATCTTTATTTTTTTATTAGTTGTCATTGGCTTTGAACTAGCTGTCAGTAACTGTGAGTATTCTCATATATGTACTTTGTGTCTTTTTGTTTTTGGGATGTACAAGTACCCGTCTACGTCCACTTTGTATTTTGTGTTGGATGTATTTTTATTTTTATTCATTTTTTTGTGTTTTTTTCGACTGATTTTTATAAATTGTTCATACGATGTACCTATTATGTCTACTAGTTTTTTTCACACATCATTGTCAAAATAATGGAATTTTATGCAACTGTCATACAGGTGAGAGGTTTAGCTAGCTATTAAACCAGGTTTAATGGACCATTTTCTACATACGAAAATGCATGTAACAAATAAGGAATATGACAGTTGTTATCCATTCGTTTGTTGTGTTACAGCTTTTGATTTTATGATTTGATTACGGACTTTCTGTTTTCAATTTCCCTCTGAGTTCGCTTTTTTTTTGTTATTTTACTTTTCCCTTCCGATAGGGGTTTAGTATCATACCATCATAAAATATATTTGAGGAAAGTAGCCCGTATCATGCAAACAACTAGTTGCAGAATACATAATTTTATTTCCTTCGCAAAGACCCTATCAGCGAATCAATATTTATACCAACATATGCAATCTTTAATGACCTGAAAACAGTATCGTAACTTTATCCCTCCTGAGCAGGTCTGTTTTTAAGGTTTAAAAGAGTTTATTTTGAACCCAAACTATTAAAATGATAACCGAAACCCTGCATTAAATCATTTAGTATTTCTCTCTTAAGACTTAAAAACGTAAAAATGACCCTACCCCCATCCCCCACCCCAAATAATTGATGTGACATACATAACAAGAAATACAAACATGCATTTCTTTGTTCTTCTGTATATCGCCAACTGTGTAAGATCATCATGGCTTAGTGATAAGAAATTAGAACATATCCTCCACAAATATTGATAAACAGAATAATACATATGACTATCTCTCGAATTTATATTGATTTAAACTGTCAATAATACCTTAAACAAAATGATTGATTATATGTCTATACTTTAGGAAAAAGAAGGGGAACAATTCTAACTAGAGATCCTGACCTGTATAGAGCTCAACGTTTTGTTTGTGTTATGATCTGGTACTTTTTTACTCAATGTAGTTTCGATTGGTTCAATAGTTCCATTAACATTTTGTTCAGTCTGGATCAGTACAATTCCTATGGATGGAGTGGACTTCTAACAACTTACAGAGCATGACAAGAATAATGTCCACTTTGTTCATCATCACAGGAACACTTGTAATCACAACCATCTTCCCAGCTCTCCCCTTGGTGATAAAGCCAACCTTTGTACCAACACCCAGCACCTAATAAAATAGATGATATAATTTCAATTGCGATATACAGTACCTTATACATTTAAGTAGAACCTTTGAATACTATTCTGTAATTCACATCTCCAGGGTGATACAATATACTTCGAAAAACATAATTGATTATATATTTATAACTTGCAAACGAAAAGGGGAACAACTCTTACTTTTAAAATCTGAATAGAGATTTGCGTTTAGCCCTTTCAAGTCTACTTCGCGGCGATTTAATTTCGCGATTTTCAAATTTACTTGATGCAGTTTGAAAAAGAAAAATCTAAGGTTTACATAATCGCGACGATTTGTATTCGCGCTATTTTTCTACTCCCGAAGGTCGCGAAAATTAGTTGGTTAACAGTTTAAGGTATTATAGTTATTTTCAGGATATAACTTAACACAAAAGTAAATAAAGTATCCGCGAACATAAGTTTGTTTACAGAATGACTATATAATAAATGATTTGACAGTTTTCACGCAAAAATATCCATAACTCATTTAATGTCAAGATTAAATGTCCTAAGTCAGGAATCTGATGTTCAGTAGTTGTCGTTTGCTGATAAGGTTCATGGGTGTTTCTCGTTTCTCGTTTTTTATATAGATTAGACCGTTGGTTTACCCGTTTGAATGGTTTAACACTAGTTATTTTTGGGGCCCTTTATAGCTTGCTGTTCGGTGTGAGCCAAGGCTCCGTGTTGAAGACCGTACTTTGACCTATAATGGTTTACATATATAAAATTTTGACTTGGAAGGAGAGTTGTCTCATTGGCACTCATACCACATTTTCTTATATATCTATCTTATTCCTTCCAAGTTGTCTGGTTGTTCTGGGAAAAAAGTGAGGTATTGATCACTAATGATACCCCTGCTATTAGTATTCATTAAAAAAGTAAATCGATTCCAAAAGCGGATTATACGGTGAGCATGTTCACAAAAAACCTGGAAGCGAGTTTTCCCCGATGCTCATTTGTAGTTTCATAGAAAATTTGTGACGAAAATTTCAAAACAGGCCAGTATGTTGATGAATATGAAGACCATTATGTATAAATCAAGATCGTCATGTGCTTAACTTAAATAGATCTTGAGTGGGTGCAAGATACTGCTTCGATGTATATTGATTGTCTAGAGGTTTATCTTCTGGACTGGTTAGGGAATATACATTAGTGTGTATATTTCTCATGTAAAGTAAAAATTTAATTATATGAAATGAAACACACCAAAGATTAAAACCCAATGCAATCTAATTCTAACCAAAAATGCAGAAACTGTAACAAACAAATACACTGGTTCGGAAGGTAGGAAAATGTACGGAATTCTATGTATATATAAATGGGTGTTACAACATTTTGCATGTACAATGGTACGAAATAAGCGAAATAAGATCTCAGGTTAGATAACTAAAACAAGAAATGTTTAAAAAAGCTACTATAATGTAATCATCCTATTAGTTATATCAGACATAAGTATTATTTACAAAGTAAACATAGAACTCACCAGTGTTAAATACTTTTGGTAGTGACACATTGTTACGGCCTGAAATGATAAACAAATATAAGAAATCATATATACATCTGTTTTTTTTTATAGTGATTTAGATATTACAACAATGTTGACTGCTGTACCGCTATTTTTGACATTTTTACCTATTGTGTCTGTTTGTTTTGTTCACGCACCGTTGTCAATATCATGAAATTTGATGCGACTGTCATACAAGTGAGAGGTTTAGCTAGCTATAAAACCAGGTTCAATCTACCATTTTCTACATAAGATAATGCCTGTACCAAGTCATTAATATGACAGTTGTTATTCATTCGTTTGATGTGTTTGAGCTATTGATTTTGCCCTTTGATAAGGGACTTTCCTTTTTTAGTTTTTCTCGGAGTTCATGATTTTTGTGATTTTACTATATACTTATCAGACGTTTTTCCCGACTGCCGCCCTGTGTCCTTTTTCTCACGCCCTGTGTCCTTTTAAGGCACCCTGCCCTTTTTTGCAAGTCCATGCGTTTATTGTCGTTATATTTTGTTGAAAATACTAAAATTCTATCTGTTTTCTTGTTTCTTACAAATTTATGACACTCGGCTTATTAACATGTACAGCAGGTGTTATACGTTGTGATTACAGGTAATCAGTTATATATGTTCCCTTGGCTTTGGTCAAAATATATTCATGTCCTAAAAATGATAATAGCTAGATATAATCTTAAAAAGGCATAAATGATAATCAAGACAATATTTATAATCATGACATCATGGATGAAATGGTCCGACAAATTTTTTTTGAACTAATTGCCCTTAAATGTCATTCTTATCATTATAACAGCAACAGTGCAATAAATTAGATTTAAAAAAAAAAAAAAAAAAAAACCTTAAATAACCAAAATGATCAGTAAGGCAAGATTTACAAACTAGTCAAACTTTGCCGGTTAAGCTAGCCCGTCGTCTTTATTCTCTTACAAAATTATTTTCCTATGATCAAACTTGGTCACAATCTAGTTTTAAAAAGTGTCTAATGACCCCACCTGCCAACAATTAAACAATTAACAAATGTGTAAACTGAAAATTTTGACTGATATCTTATAAACCATAATAAACTAAAAGGTAACAATCTTCTTACAGTTTTGACGCAATTAGACAATTGGTAGCGCTCAACATACTGAATATTTTTGTCGAAGTCAGATTTTATCTTTTTTTATTACAGTTTTCAAAGTATTAGACACAACTTGCGTTTTACCTTTAAGTTCTTTATTTAGCCATGTCACCCATCTTGGTTAGCAGGTGTCACAATGACGACGACAACAGACAAATTGTTTTACCTTGGTTACTTACATGTACTATGTCCCTGTATAGTGAAGACATCACCAACACCTGGTTTATCTGTAAACAATTCTCAATCTTATATCCATCATGACGACATGTACACAGTGTTCATTGTTTTATAAAGCAGCTAATATAATAATTAAAACTGTGATGATCAAACTGCAGTACAAACAGGGAATAATTGTAGGTAAAATGAATGAATTAGATAGGGTTCGTGCCAACGTAAACATCTGATTTTTTGGAATAAAATATGCCCCTAAAAGATCCAGTGCTTACTAAAGGCAATATCAGTATATCGCTGTTCAATAGTAATAAATTGATTTAACTGAAACAAATACGGGTCATTAACCAAACCTGGTGGAAACACAGCAATTATAAGAGGAAACAAAACGGAACAACAGAAACACTGAATTTCTACAAAAACAAACGCCAACATACATAAAAACGGGCTATGTGATAACAGTTGCCACATTCATGACTTGGTACAGGACATTTAAAGAAAAAATGGTGGGTTGAATATAAAAAAGAAGATGTGGTATGATTGCCAGTGAGACAAATATCCACAAGAGTCCAAAATGACACAGAAATTATCAACTATAGGTCACCGTAAAGCCTTCATCAATGAGCAACAAATGTAAAACAATTCAAACAAGAAAACTAACGGCCTAATATATATACAAAAAATGAACGAAAATCAAATATGCAACACATCAACAAACAACAACTACTGAATTACAGGCTCCTGACATGGAACAGGCTCATACATACAGAATGTGGCGGGGTTAAACATGTTAGCGGGCTCCCAACCCTCCCCCTAACCTGGGACAGTAATGTAACAGTACAACATAAGAACGAACTATCAACATCAGTTTGAAAAGGCTTAACTTATCAGGTGGATGCAAATAGAAATACATCTAATAAAAACACAGAGTGGACGTGGCAGGGTACTTGTATATCACAACAACAACAAAAAAACCAAAAAGACTGATCTGAGAGAGCTAGCAATTTTTTACACCTTGTGCAAAGCCACCAACAACTAATACAAAAAATCATGCATCTAAGACTTAATTATCAATCAGTACACATCCAACATCCAATGGATTTAGTGTAAAGACGTCATAAACAGTCAGAGAAAACATGACCTTGTGCAATGCCAAGATACTTGTATCGACATATTTTAGATCTATGAATGTGTAGATGTATATAACAATAATATTTAGTTTGCTTTGAATTTACTGATAACAAAATCAATATTAATACCAATAAAAACAATATTCAATTGAATAAGTTTTTTTAAAAGATCGATAAGTTTACCAGGATCGTTTCTAAATTTCCGTAAAAATGAAGCTGGTTTCATGGCTAGATAAACCTCCCGCTTATATAGCAATGTTAAAAATACCGCTAAACTAACAACATTAAGTGATAAGAATAAAGAACAAATAAATGCAAGAACATTCAGGACACAGAAATACATAAATAAATAATATAATAGTCCATTTTAACAGGTAAACCACCACAGAATAACAACGAACACCTAAAATTATATTAGGACAACAAAAATACAGCCCAATAAAATAATGAACTATGCGTTATACGAACGTATCTACGGTACAAAAAAATGACGTCACAGGTAAATTTTTAAAAGTACAATATGAAATTTAGATTAAGTTTGTAATGGTGTTATTTGATGTATTTTCCAACCGTTACTTAGTGTTTTGGTTGTAGGTCAAAGGATTATGATAAGTAATATACACTTTCCCTTAAGTCTATAAAATGTTAGAGGTAGTAGTAACTTTATTTTGATATTAAACTGGATGTCAAAAATACTTTCTTCATTGTATGTCTACTTAGTACCTAAGAAATAAAGAAAATAATGATCCAATCATCTAGAAGTATCTTTACAACAAAACATATAATCAAAATTCATGGTATATCTTAGACTTGTACTTAGCTGTGGAACTTTACCTAGTCGTACTTGGATTTGAAACTTTACCAGGTCTATGATTCAGGAAAAAAGGGATTTATTGTTTTGATACTTTTTTAATAAGAAAGAATATCAAGCAGCGAGCTGATGTATTCAGTCTGGTGAATCAAAATGCAATGATCATTTTGGTCACCATCTGTCTTAACACTATTTGTCTTGGGGTAGAATATGTTATCAAATGAAGATGGCAAAGAAAAACAGTTTGCATAAAGTTGACATTCAATAAAAATAAAAATCACAATTTTCAAATAAAATTTCATAAGTTTATGATTGAATGAATACTCACTATATCCCCAGTGAGCTGAGGTCTGTCCTGGAGCATAATAGAAAGCTGGTTTCTTTTCTGTTTCCATAAAACACCTGTTTGCTGTAGATATAAACATCCAACCAGTTGAATCACATTTGGATTTATCAGCATCCTGACTGGCATAAAATTCTCTGAGGAAATCTGGGTCTCTGAAATGGTTTTTGTTTTCATAGATAAATTAAACATTTGCAAAAAAAGAAAATTATTTTTCTTTTATTTTACTGAGGATCATGCGTTTAATCTTTATCATTATGATGTTGGAATCAAGCTCTCTAAGGTTCTAATGTGGTATTTATTGCAACATTGCTGTTAAATGTACATTTCTGATAAGTTATATAAAAAGTAATGTGTCAAGGGACGTATATTTACAACATTGATTTATAGCGAAGCAAATATAAAGAATATGAGACATTTCATTATTTATTATTTTAATGAAAAAAGGTCAGTTAAAACAACCAGAAGCTACGAATATCTTCAGGAATATTGTATGGAAAAAAATGTCTAGAGAAAACTAAAATTTTCACGAAATGTTGTATGCCCATGGGCACTAATTCTTCACAAAGTGTAGTTACAACAAATGTACATCTCCAAATGCTGCATTTATCTAAACAGTCAGTTACCATAACAAACATTAAACTCGATCGTGTCTCAATAAGCTCTTTTCAACAAGAATTTAAAAAAAAGTACTGAGCTGTACAATTTTCATACACAATTTTATATATGCCCAGACACTAAGTAGCAGGATATAAATTTCAAACCAGAGTGCATCATGCAGTATATACAGGTTTTACATTGCACTTACAACTAATTTAGTATCTGAGAAATTGAAACCATAGCAAATGTATTAATACTAACTGAGACAGTGCAAAGTACTGTTTAGTTGTAGATTGTAAATCCACCCATGATGAATCTATGATTCTGCTAGGTGTAAACCAACTCATCTTATCGGCTTCTGTACCATTGAACAACATGAAAGCTTTCTCTACACCATTTTTGTATATAGATACCCTGACCTAAAATATGTTTTGATTTATATTTCTTTACTTGATTTTCTATAATTTTACTCAAATAAAAAAGGATAAGCTCATAACGAGGGCATTTTAAGGTTTCATTACTTATTACATTTTTGAAGGTCCAGCTCAGTCTTTTAAAAAAATAAACATCGATACCATACTGTCATTTGACCAATCACATTTTATTTGATAGAATACATCTCCTGGTCAGTTTTGGAAAGCAGTGTGCATATTATTTATAGTATACATAAATACATTGGCTTTAGCTGTATTGTTAACGTTTTACTGTATTAATTGTCTATAAAAGGGTGTGAATCTGGTAAAAAATATAACAAAAAAATAGCAATTTGTTTTAATTATTTATCATTAAATTGTCCAACCATTCCTCAAAACATTTTATATTCTGATCAAATTGACATCCTAGTTTTTCGATTCATGAGAAAAGTTTAGAATTACATTACTTAAATTTTTATTTAGTTTGCCTTGTATGTCTATTCATGACCTTTTAGTGATTTAGATGCTCTTTCGGTGAAGGATATAAGCCGATAACAGTAGAATCTTTAAAGGTCGTACAAAACTTAGAAAGAATTTATCTATAATCGCTTGTTTGAAAAGTGATATACTACTGTTGTCTTTATTTTTTTTCAATATGCTAAATTTGGCCATAGAGATTAACTTTGAATGACGACAAAACAATCTAATAATTATTGAAGCTTTATGATTTTTTTTTCGCAGAAAAATAACATTCACAAAGAGTCATTATGGTACTATTAGCTTAAAAGAGGGACGAAAGATACAAGAGGGACAGTCAAACTCATAGATCGAAAACAAACTGACAACGCCATGGCCAAAAATGAAAAGACAAACAGACAAATAATAGTACAGATGCCACAACATAGAAAACTAAAGACTTAGCAACACGAACCCCACAAAAAACTGGGGGTGATCTCAGGTGCTCCGGAAGGGTAAGCAGATCCTGCTCCACATGTAGCACCCTTCGTGTTGCTTATGTTATTACAAATCCGGTAATTAGTCTAATTCGGTAGGTCACATTCGTGCAAAATGGAAGGGTATTGTAGTTACGACATAAGGAACATATCCGATATCATCTGTGAAACGGTTATTCCATGACGGTCAACCAACTCGTGATGGCGTCCGTAAAATTTACGAAGGGATGATTTCAACTTCACCATTTGGAACTCTTGGTTTAATAACTTCCTTGTGAGCAGCAATCCTCTATCAAGGAAATCATAATAGGAAATACAAGCCCGGGAATATCGTATCAATTGGGAGATATATACTGTAAACCGGGAAATTTTCGCGCCGTCTTTTTTCGCGATTTATCAACAAAATCTAGATTCGCGCCGTATTGAATTCGCGATGTCCCGGTCGGTGTCCTATATAAGTTTTTTCATAAATGATTTGGAAACTGTACAGTGTTAATAAATGTATTTAAATCAAGTGATAAAACAAATAAAAATTCCTTTTTGTCGGTTCACATTTGAAACTATTAATCATGTTTGCTTGTAAAAACACAATACTTTAAACAAAGAGGAATGACCTTATTAAGAGTGAATTAAATGCTGACAGAATTACTGCTTATTAGTTAATATTTTAATCTGATTGATCTGTGCAGCAGATACAATGGGTAAACATTTTAAAACTGATTGACAGGTGTCATTTACATAACTGTAACGATAGTTGTTTATTTAGCAATATCCGTATTGTCCACTTGGATTAATTAGGACTATCATGAGATAAAGTTTTGATAATTAACACTGACTTTCCTTTAGAAATAAAGTTATGTTTTGCGGTATAGATCTGTCGTCTGTAAAACCAATGTTTTAAATTAGCCATCTACATATCCTAATGACAAACGTTCATGTATGATCTCCATATTCGTGTTCGGATTTCCTTGAAATTTTCGCGGTCGTTTTATTTTCGCGTTTCAACTCTTACCGCGAAAAAAGCGAAAATAAAACTGCCGCGAAAATTTCCCTGTTTACAGTACCCCGTATGCAGGCGCTGCTGAAATGTTGCTACATAGAAATGGAAAGTTCACAATTGGGAAGCTAAAATCATCTCTTTTATCGAAATTTTGTTTTCAACCGACCCTCATTGTCAATTTCTAGATGTAAGTCAAGATATGAGGCAGACTTAACTGTATCTGTAGTATCCTTTATCTCTAGTTCGGTGGGATAGATTCGTTCAACATAGTCACCAAATTTTGTATTAATTAGTGAGAGAACAACATCTATATAGCGGAACGTATAGTTAAAGGATATTGCTAACTTCTGATCTTTCTTCCTTTTACCAAAGACGAAATTTTACAAAATCACAAATTTGTCCTTCTTTCTTTTGGTATCAACATCAAAGAAAACGAAGAAAATTTACCATCATTATACTGGATACCAAAACTACACAAAACTCCATATAAAGAACGATACATAGCTGGGTCATCAAAATGTTCGACTAAACATCTTTCTAAAGTACTAACTACTATTCTTTCTACAGTTAAAGATGGGCTTCAAAAATATTGTGATGAGATGTATTCTACCAGTGGTGTTAACCAGATGTGGATTCTCAAAAATCCGAAAGATCTACTGCTTAATCTTCGATCACAATCTTAGCAATTTTGCAGCAACATAAAGACTTTTGATTTTTCTACGCTTCACACTACTATTCCCCATGCTCAGTTGAAAGATCGACTTCACCATCTCATTAAACAGAGCTTTTTCTATAAAGATGGGAATCGTAGATACAAATTTCTTGTTTTGGGTTACAATAATTCATATTTTGTGAAAAACCACACTGAATCTACCAGGAAATATACTGAAGATGATATTATCAAAATGCTGGACTTTTTTTCGACAATATATTTGTTGAGTTTAGAGGATTTATATTTCAACAGACAGTCGGTATTCCAATGGGAACTAATTGTGCACCCCTACTGGCCGATTTGTTTTTGTACTCGTATGAAGCAGAATTCATTCAGAACCTTCTAAAAGACAAAAAAAAAGCACCTTGCGAAATTCTTTAATTTTACTTTCCGATATATTGATGATGTTCTATCATTGAATAACCCATATTTCAGCCAATACTTGCACCTCATATATCCCAGTGAACTTGAAATTAGGAATACAACTGATACTAGAAGGACTGCTTCATACCTTGATCTTTTCCTCAATATTGACACAGATGGACGACTTCACACGACAATCTATGATAAACGGGACGATTTCAACTTCCCAATTATCAATTTCCCATTTCTCAGCAGTAACATACCCTCTGCCTTTTCGTATGGTGTTTACATATCTCAATTGATACGTTATTCTCGTGCTTGTTCACACTATACTATACTACATTTAGTTTCTTAATTCGGATTTGTATCAACGACCTCACAGCCTTAATCCATTCGGAAAGAGTATCTACGTCATCTTTCTTGCGTTTAGCCCATTGCCTGGCATAATCCTCGACTGAATCCATCAGTATTTTGAAGTTGTATTAAAAAGTATTCAAGTATAATTCTACAAAGATATGCACAATAAACCAAAAATTGGTAAGAGCCCTTAACATCACAAATGCACTCTCTGTATGGGAATGTCTCTTAACCTTATCCAAACAAAGACCTGTCCAGTTGTTTGACAATATTGGTTTGTAGTGACCTGGGAAATTTGGTGTCAGTGAGTTGGCTCCTGGTTGGAATTCATTAATGGTCTTAGTTGAATTCCATAATTCAAACAAATCAGTAATACCAGGAGGATATGTTCCTACTCCAGTCACACCCTTCATCAACAGTACATAACCATTTGGTGATGGTGCTTAAAGTATATGATATAAAATGTTATGGAATGTATTATATCATAGGTTACCAATCGTCTTTGCTTCAATACATAATTCTCGAATGAACAAACTAAAAGAAGTATTTAGTTGTCTCACTGTTTCATTTCTTTAAATTTGATTCAATTGGCAGATGAATAACATTCAACAACCTATATCGCCAAAATTACAGGGCTTCATTTTGCAAAATGATTAACAAAACATCGGATAGTGGTGTACAATACAATTAAAAACAATTTGTAAAATAGTTCTGTCATTTATACCTTATACATTTCAAAATAAACTATGTGTTCATTTTGATATGATCTTGGTTAATACCTTAATTTGACATCATAATGCGCATGTGAACTTAAATTAAGATGGACTGCCGAAGGTTGGAGGTTCTCCCTACGCACTCTGGTTATCTCCGCTAATAATAACGACCTCTAATTTGTCAAAACTGATAAAAGTGGCGTTAACTTCAACAATAAATTGGCCAATCAGGTTCAAGTTGTTGTAACCTGAACTTCGTAGTAGGCTGCCCTAATTGCAAACTTTAACTTCAAAATGCACTGCTTTCACACGATTTTATTTCAATGATTAGCGAGCAAAATGTAGATCAAAATCGTTACATTTACTGATGACAATTAGGGTTTGGGACATACGTTACTCATTGTATCGACACCATACTTGTTATTTGTACTGATGGTATTGAAGGTTTATGACATAATTCACACATTGTAATGATAACACACTTGTTACTTGTACTGATGGAACAGAAGGTTTAGGACATAAATAAAGGCAACAGTAGTATACCGTTATTCGAAATCCATAAATCGATTGAGAAAAAAACAAATCCGGGTTTCAAACTAAAACTGAGGGAAACACATCAAATACAAGAGGAGAACAACGACACAACAGAAACTCAACACTAAAATGCAACACACACAGAAACGAACTATAATATAACAAAATATAGGCCATTTTCCTGACTTGGCACAGAACATTGTAAGAAAAAATGGTGGGTTGAACCTGGTTTTGTGGCTAGCCAAACCTCCCGCTTTTATGGCAATGTTAAATATAACATTTTAATGACAAGATGGCAGGACTACAATAAAAAAAAAATGGGAGAACATACAGGACAGAGACACACACAAATAATAGCTATCAAAAGGTACCAGGCTTATAATTTAATACACCAGACGCGCGTTTCGTCTACATAAGACCCATCAGTGACGCTCAGATAAAAAAGTCCGAAAGCCAAAACAAGTACAAAGTTGAAGAGCATTGAGGATCGAAAGTTCCAAAAAATTGTGGCAAATACGGCTAAGGTTATATGCCATGTGATAAAAAAATCCTTCGTATTTAGAATAATTCATACTTTTGCAAAGCAAAGATTAAATTTATAAAAATAATAGATATACATGTTAACACCGATATGGTGACTTACTACAGAATAAAAACGAATACATAAAACAACCTAAATCAGCACATGAAAAAGGCACAGCCGAACAACATATTATATGTTAGCCGAAGAAATCGACGCACAATGTGACGTCACATTTAAATTTCTATAAATTTCCCAAAAATAGGATACAGTTCAAGATAAGGTTTGTAATACTGATATAACATGTATTAATAACAAAGAAAATTACAATACTTATTAATATAAAATTGTGGTAGTAATTGGATAATTAATTGTAGTATCAAGCTATGTCGGCATTTTTTAAAATCAAACTGTAAACCAAATACATCGTAAAAATTTAGTTGACCTAAACTAAAATCTTATAAATGAACATAAGTTACACATTGTAATGATAACATACTTGTTACTTATACTGATGGTTCTGAAGGTTTAGCACATTAGTTACAAATTGTAATGATAACATACTTGTCAGTTGTACTGATGGTACTGAAGACTTAGGACATATATTACATTGGCTGGCACAATTTTCTCTGGCAAAGTCAATAAGCAAAGTACAAACATTTGGTCCAATTTCTGCACAGGCAGTGGGGTTCTTGCCAACACAGGCTGGATCAGCTGAAATTCCAAATATCAATATGTAATTATATAAAATCTTCCCTTCGTAAATTTAACAGACGCCATCACGAGTTGGTTTACCTTTCAGGTATATCCGTTTCACAGCTAATATCGGATATGTTCCTTATGTCGTAACTACAATCCCGGACCCTTTTCACGAATGTGTCCTACCGAATTAGACTATTTACCGGGTTTGTAATAATATGAGCAACACGACGGGTCTGCTAGCCCTTCCGGAGCACCTGAGATAACTCAGAGTTTTAATGGGGTTCGTGTTGCTTAGTCTTTATTTGTCTATGTTTTGTACTAATATTTGTCTATTTTTCTTTTTCTTTTTTAGCCATGGCGTTTTCTGTTCATTTTCGATCTATGAGTGTGAATGTCCCTCTGGTATCTTTCGTCCCTCTTTTAGCTAAGATTGCATATGAATAAAGTGATACAATAAATCTTATTCAGCTGTGGAACACACTTATGCAAAGTATATAGTTTGAATCGGAATTATTTGACTTTTTTCATTAGTGTACCTTTTTGCATCGCAGATTAGTTCATCCTACAAGTACAACTATGTAACTTTTGATAAAACTATAACAAACAGACGAACAAATTTCAACGTCAGATCCCCCAAGGGTGACTGGGGAATAGAAGTATGGTCATCATTGGTCTTCCTCCGACCGGCAGTAAAACCCGTGCTAAAGTGGGGCGTCCGTTTGGCTGTGCGGGATGTACAAATTTGCAGCCACGTCCGGTCAGAATGGGGACGTTAAATCCGATGCCTCGTGTAAAGAAAGTGCCACGTTCTTTGCACGTTAAGAACCCTTGCAACAACTCTTTGAGGGGTCCGTAGGTGACCTGTTGCAAGGCTAAATTTCTGTCCCTATCCAATATACCCTCATTTCCAGTGGCAGTCTAAATTTCTCCGACCTTAATCCCTTAATCCCTTAATCTATTACAGAACCTACCTATTGTATTTATTGTGAACTTGTTCTCGTCCTGAATATGCATGACAAATTTGCCACTGGACGTTAAGCAACCAACAATCAATCAATCAATCAACGTCAGATTCCCCTCAAACGAACTTATACATGAAACTCACTCAATGAAATATTTTCATGTGTATTTCATGTGAAGTTTACAAAATCAGGAATTTTTCTTGATTTCAATTAAATTTGAAAATATAAGATGTTATCTAAATAACTTTTTTCAAATTTTCTTGTGAAAAATTTGGGTGATTCACGTAAAATTCACGTGAGTTTCACAAAAGTTTCACATGAAACTCACATAAACTGATTTTGTATGAGTATTCTTGCGTTTGTTTGTGCTGTATTTCTATCACATAGTGTTGTCAATTTAGCGATGTTTTGTAACATGGCCATATAAGCGGGAGGTTTGGCTAGTAATGAAACCAGGCCACCATTTTCTCTTAAAATGACCTGTACAAAGTCAGGAATATGGCAGTCGTTATCAAATAGTTCGTTTCAATGCATGTTCGTGTTTGTTTTTTGGTGCACGTCATTGTTTCTGTTGTTCCTTTGTTTTCCATTTTAGTTGATGCGTTTCCCTCAGTTTTATGTTGTAAACAGGGTTTGTTTTCTCTCAATCAATGTATGACTTTTGAATTCCAGGTATACTACTATTGCCTATTTTTAATCGATGGTTTTTCAAACGATATGGTGTTCAATTTCAATAAAGGGCGACAGCCGTGATTTAGAGAAAAAACTACAATGTGTCTTTTTTGCCGAGAACACCTCGAGTTTGGAAGATAATTGAATTCGGTTTATCACTATTTCGCTTATGACATCGTAATGTTTACACCCCGACAGTGTCACGTGCGCCCTTGGTTTCTGACGACAATTTTCTATTTCAAGCGAGTAGAGTGATAAGGAAAATTATCCAAGATGAAAGGAAAAAAAACAACAAAAAAAGTTTCCTTAAGTTAATTCACATACGTTACATTGTATCTATCAAAAAGACTTAAAATGTAAAATCACAAAAATACTGAACTCCGAGGAAAATTCAGAACGGAACGTCCCTAATCAAATGGCAAAATCAAAAGCTCAAATACACCAAACGAATAAATAACAACTTTCATATTACTGACTTGGTACAGGCATTTTCTTATGTAGAAAATGGTGGATTAAACCTGCTTTCAAAACTAGCTAAACCTCTCACTTGTATGACAGTCGCATCAAATTCCATTATATTTACAACGATGTGTGAACAAAACAAATAGACATAATAGGTAAAAATGTCAATAATAGGGTTACAGCAGTCAACATTATGTTATAATCTTAATCACTATAAACAACAAACAAATATGTAACCAAGCAGCACAAAAAGGCATATAGACAAAGAAAAATAGCAAAAAATTAAAATGTCAATTGTTCTTGAACAATTGAGAGGTCTTTCCTTTTCGTAATGTAAAATACATGTCCCAATAGACGTAAAATATATTGAAAAGCTCTCAAACACACATAAAACCGTTAATAAATGATAAAAAACAACTAATTCGCTATTTAGGACATGACCTTGACTTTTGACCTTGTGACCTTTGTGAAGGTCATTGGTGCATGATGTCATTATAGAAGATCCCATGGGTCTAGGACCTTTAGTTCAAGAGTAAAAGCTTATTTAGGTTTTTCAGAAAGCGTTAACGGGGGTTATGCCCCTTAATGATATGTCAAATCTCTTCGGTCATAATGTAAAAAAGTTGTGCCTTAGTCACCTAAACATTTTTCACTATTTACTATTTCTGTAAGTATAATCGTTTTTGAGATATCCAATAAAATGTTGTAAGGTCAAAGGTCAACCTTAAAAAGCTTTAAAACACACTAAAAATCCTTTAAATAAGGTCAAAGACACATAATTCGCTATCTGGGACATGACCTTGACCTTTGACCTTGTGACCTTTGTCAAGGTCATTGGTCCCAAATGTGATTGTTGAAGACCCCATGGGTCTAGGAC